ATGCCATAGCTTTTTTTTAGATATTTTAGTTTAAGTTAACTCCCTTTAGTAACTCAACTCTTAAAATTTTTGTTCACAGCTGCTGTGACTAAGGGAAAATTATTAGATTTGAGTGTCTGCTCAAATACAAGTATCTAAAAAGGCTTTCTATGGTGACTAAAAGACAGCAGTTTTGTTTTGGAGATGTTAAAATTTACAAGCCATTCCTTAACAACTGATTAGAGGTCGTATTTGAGAGTAGCTGCCAATTTTACTTTGAACATATCAGACATGCTATTAAATTTACAAGCCATTCTTTGCCCCAGTTAACAACTGATTAGAGGTCATATTTGAGTGTGTTGTCAGCTTTACTTTGTTGGACCTATTGGTCTTACTATTAAGACAGAAGTAAATAATTGTCATCAGGATAAAGAACTAGTTGGGAAAATAATACCCTTGGAAAAGGTCTGACCCCATCTCTTTTCCCCCCAGCTATGGGTAAATAGCTAGGTTTTATAGTCTTGGGTGGCAGCCAGTCTAGGAGAAGGAAAACTCTGAATTCAAACTAGCCTGGAGATGATTGGGCTTTGCCAGGTTATTTTGCCTAAGACACATGATTTTTACTGTGGCTGCACTACATATGGTACACCTATGACTCTAATGGTTTACGGGACTTGGGATTGTGCCCATGATATTTATATTCCAGAATCCCAAAATCGCTCTCTTACTCAATAATAATAATAATCATAATAATAATCATGAGAATGTGAGAGTTGTTTTTTTTTTTGGGTGGGGGAGTCCCCATGGTTTGGTTTGTATTACAGCATATCAATACCTCAATGGGTCATTTAATGCAGACAACTTTTTTTTTTTTTCCTGGTAATATATTTGTTTTGTCAAAAATCCATTTCTGTTAATACTATTTTTTCAAAAATGTATAGATGGTAATACTATTTTTTCAAAAATGTATAGATGGTAATATTATTTTTTCAAAAATGTATAGATGGTAATATTATTTTTTCAAAAATGTATAGATGGTAATATCATTTTTTCAAAAACGTACAGCTGGCAACGTTATTTTTTCAAAAACATTATCAGGGGCCTTGCTGTTGGATGTAGTTTATTGTCATACCCAGGACGCGGATGTAGCTTATCGTCATACCCAGGACGCGGATGTAGCTTATCGTCATACCCAGGACGCTGATGTAGCTTATCGTCATACCCAGGACGCTGATGTAGCTTATCGTCATACCCAGGACGCTGATGTAGCTTATCGTCATACCCAGGACGCGGATGTAGCTTATCGTCATACCCAGGACGCGGATGTAGCTTATCGTCATACCCAGGACGCGGATGTAGCTTATCGTCATACCCAGGACGCGGGAGTCCCCTTGAAGCTATGTTTAGCAAGGTAATATCACAGTACATTACAACTATATTAAAAGTCAGATCTTTATTAGGAGCCCTATACTTGTGACAAAATATGCAATTCTAAGAACTGCTCACCATGGCACAATGGTCATCAAGCCACCCCTGTAAATTATTACTACTAGAGAGAGTTTGATTTTCATCATGTACCCCATACACTGTGCCAGAGAAAACTCAGTGTAGCAAATATCAATATTAAGGGTACGTCAGGCTATGACGCATGTGACCGGTAAACCCTAATCAGACTGGGCTGCCATTATGGATGCAGAGTGATTTACATATTTGTACCCTAGCTTCACCTTGTCGGCACGTTACACTCTCACTAAATATTCATAATAATAAATGGAAAGATCTGTGAAAGTGTCATGGTTTTCCTATTTAAATTTTCTGATTAATCCTTATTCTTTAGTTAATGATTGAATAAGCTCATGGTGTGTTCCACGACAATAAAATATCTGTAGAAATTCCTCTGTCATATCTTTTAAATATTCGAGCTTAACAACTTTAAACTTTGCAAAAGCAATGATAAATATGAATACTGGTTGTGATTTTAAGAAGTGGGTACAAATGAAAAGATTTGAAATTGACAGCTTTTTCCTATTTCACTGAAACAGCGATTAAACAATTCTTTATTTCTTTCATGTTCTCACTGAAATCAAGTAGTGTCTTTTCTCCTCTTTTCATGTGATCAAAATGGAATAGTCCATTAATTACAAGGTACTGGCAGGAGACGTTAAACTCGTTTATTTTCCCTTATTTTTTTCTAGCTAAATCCCCATTTCTCTTGATAATTTTAAAATATTGCAGCAGACAATGTTATTTTATTTAAATTATGGGAATTGGATTACATGATTTCTGTTATTTGATGCTGTGTGTCTGTAAAATGGTGTCTTTATCATGACTTCATGGCCTTTTGGCTGAGATCAAAGTATAGTATCTGTTCTTATCAGCTTAATCTGATTCTCCCTCTCTACTTTTTTCTTTTTTTTTTTCTTTCTTTCATTTTCTCATTGAAATCAAATGGTCTTTTCCTCTTTTTTCAGAAGATCAAAATGCACAACAGGTATTGACAGGACATAATGGTCGTGCTAACTAACAAAGGGAGGGAGAAACACAATTATAATATGATAAGAGAAATGTTATGATTCATTCAATAATAAACAAAATCCAACCATGAAAGAAATTGGGACCCTTAACTTTGGAAAACAGAAGAAAGTAAATGTAAAAAAAACCCTGAAAAAAAATCTGTTTTAAACTTTTTTTTTTTACTAAGTTTCACCTTATACAAGCCCCAAGAGCCTCTCAAGGTAGAAGGTAATAGTTGAAACAGTAATGAGGTGTGTCGTATGAATAGAGGAAAAGGTAGCAGGAAGCGAGAGATTAGGAAGATAAGGATTGATTTTTTTTTTTACAGTTTATCAACCCATTGTGGATTATTTAACCCTTTAGCATTCAACAAGCTCAAATCTGCTCTGTAAATATCGGCTCACAAAGCCTCACTGTTTGGGTGACTTCTTGTGTTTTTTTGTGATAATGTTGCCATATATTATACATGGGGTGGGCTATGGTAGGTTGAACATTGAGAGCTGATATTTACAGGCTGGGTTGAATGCTAAAAGGTTAAAGTAAAGGTTAAAGTTGAAACATATTTTGCATTGCACGAATAATTCTTTTATTTTTTTTGCAAGTGAAAACATTAAAACTTAGCTATTAAGTGCATGTGTAAAAGTTGTTAGTAGCCAAGGTAAAGAGGTTGCTCCACAGAGGGAACAAAATCTAGTATTGATGCTACTACATCTTGGAGCCAAAGAAAGAGAAAGAGGAAGTATAGACCCAGGTTTTTATAGTCCTAATAGAGTACTACCTAGCAGCATCTTGGTAGAGCAAAACTGCAGAATATTTAAGCGAATGTAATGAAGCCAACAGAAATTTGAACCAGCTGTTATGGATAAGGAAGGACAATGAGAAAAGGAAAAATTAAAAAAAAAAAAAAAAAAGGTTTATCCAAAATGTCACATGAAAGAAAGAAAAGACATAAAAATAATGAAGGTACAAACACAGACAAGGATTAAGAAAGCTTACAAGATGATGGTTTCGGAAAAGCTAACAGTAATTTTCTGAGGAAGCCGTTTAGGAAGACTCATTAGAATTTCATGTTAGTTGTTCAGACATTTTTTCTTTTTTTTTGTGGGGAAGGGAGGAGTGTTTTGACCCCACCTTCATTATGCACACATAATTAAAAAAAAAAAAAAAAAAAAAAAAAAAAAGTAAAAAACTGATAAATAAGAGACATTTGTGCATAACAAAATAAAGCGACCCACTAAAAATTGACAAGTAAAAAATAAATAAAGTTAATGCGGCTGGAGTTCTAATCTAGGTGCCTTGGGAAAACAAAGAGAAAACAAGAGTAACAATAAAAAAAAAAATGGTTGCAGCTTCTGGGGTAATGCAGAACTGCACCCCCACTCCCAACCAGATGTCTCTTTATTTTTTTAAATTTAAAAAAAATAATAGATTAATTTTTTTTTTTAAGTTTTAAGAAAAGGTGTTTAGTTTTTCTATACAAATAATGAAATTCTTGTTCCAAACCGACTTCAGTAACAAAGAAAAAGGACAATTTCACAGTAACACTATTTATATACAAATTCTCAGTAAATGTATTAACAACTCCTTTTACCAAAAGGTAGGAATCAGTCACCTGACATCACAAAAATATATCTAGCTGTGTAAATACAAACTTAATGCACACATTAAATATTGACCACTATTTCAAATTACAATAATTGAATTTACTGATTATAGGAGAATCCAGGTCCTTTTGTTTAAAGTCTGATGGCACTACTTAGACTGGTCCACTCATAAGAAATAGAGAAATTTTGGGAGAGAAATAATTTTTATAAATTAGTATTATTTAGATCACTGTGAAATTTATCAAAATAAAAAAAAAATATTGGTTCATCGATTTAGAAAGGGGTCTTGTTTCTAATATCGATATAGTGTCAAATCACTCAGTGATTTTTACAGAGTTATTGAAACTAGTTGTTTTGTGCATGAAAAACTGATTTTGAAGTGGGGGTGTGGCTAGAAAAAGTTTGTTCAATAAATGGACAGATGGATACATACATTTTTAAAGTAAAGAATAAGAGGTTATATAAATCAATAAAATTTATGTATTTGAGATAAATAATTTTGAACCTCAAATGTTTGTGCACGTGTTTCTGGAAAAAAATAAAATAAATAAAAATAAAATAATCCATACAAAAAAGTATTTAAAAAAATGTTTAAAAAGAAAAAAAAGTCATCTGAAGAAGGCTGGAGCGTACAACAACCGAAACATCATGAATATAGCAACAAAGATGAGGCCAACTAATGTAAACAAAAAAATATTTTTGAAAATTTAAAGAATATGCTGATATCAATGACAGCACATTTTCAAACTTGACATTTGTAAATAACAGCTAAGTGACTCAGCCTAAGGCCAGATAACTCTGTAAAAGTCAGGGATCATTTTGACACTGTATCTATATTATAAATAAGACCCCCTTTAAATCAATAACAAATATTTTTCAATTCTGACGATGATTATGGCCATATTCCCATATGATCACCGTAGTTAAGCAAATATTGAGCTTGGTCAGTACCTAGATGGGTGACTGCTTAGGAATACCAGGTGCTGTAAGCTTGGACGTGCAGGTGGTGCAATGGATGATAATTCAGAATTGTTAATCAGAGAGCTAATTTCAAATTTCAGATGTGTTCGTTATATTTCTCCAGCTATGGGTTAATTAGTAAGAGTTGTATCACTAAATCATTATTATCTCAAAAATAAACACAAAATTAAAAAATAGAATAGTTCTTAAAATCTAAAAATATTTTCTGGCTTTAAATAACCTACAAAGGGTTGATAAGCTGTATATAAAAAAAAGCCAAAACATCAAGCAATTAATGAAATACTGATTAACTACAAAGGCATATCTTTTAGATTCATTTACATTTTCTAAAATATGCATGTAGAGAAACTACCGTGACCACAAAGTGAGGGATCAGTTTTTGTACTGATTGTAATACAGAATTGACCCCCCCCTTTACAACCACATAATCATTTCTTGTTTCTTTATCAGATTCTGATCAGATATGAATCCATATCTTCTCCCTCCAGGTATGGGTTAATTAGTAAGACTAAACTATTATTATCTTACAATGTAAAAATATTTTCTGGCTTTAAATAACCGGCAAAGGGTTGGTAAGTCATAGTAAATGAATGAATGAATGAATCAATAAAATACTGATTAGCTAAAAAGGCATGTCTTTTAGATTTATTTAAATTCTCCTGAAGATAAATGTATAGACACTCTGAATTCAAAATCTAGCCACTTGAAGCTAGACAAAGATGGTTAGCACACTGATTTGTCCAAGTTTTCCCCGACACACCTATTTGCTCAGATTCATATCCGAAACGTAAACTAAACAATTTCTAAAGAATTAATTGATATCTGTATTTGAGTAGATGCTCCATTTTTTTTTTAGATGTCTGTAAAGCAACTCTGGATAATCCCCTTGGAGAAGAATTATCCATAATGTTACTGATGCCAACGGGCATTGGTTGCAAGAAGGGATTAATTTTCCTTCTATATTTCTTAGGTATGAAAATCCTGCATCACCCAATTTGTGGTCACTTATCCGAATCTCTAAATGTTTAGCTTTCACTGTAGACAAGCTGAGCAGACAAAAGCTTTGAATGCATTTGTGTGCATAAGTCTGCTTCCTTAAGTGCAGTTAGAGAGGTTGGTAGTCAGCAAAAATGCTCTCTAGCAAACTATGAACAACACTTCCCCTCCCCACCCTCCCTGCAACAAGTGGTTTGCGAAATTGAAGAAATTGGGTTGTGCTGGAACTGAATGGAGTCAGTCAGGCAATTCTTGTATCAATCCCATGTACAGGATCAGGAAGACATTCCTCAAAAGGCTTCCCTTTTCAATGGCCCTGCTCTCTTCTTTGAGCTACGACTACCGTTTTTGTCAATTTCTATGGCAGTCCTAAGTTCTCAATTCTTGCAGCATCATTTTCCTAGACCACAGACAATGGCAGTCTTTGACAGATTTTTGCAATGTGAAGGAAATGAAGTGGAATCACATTTAAATGCGGTCAGTCTAAGTAGATAAAATTGTTAATGAGAGTAAAATATCAGAGTGAGGTTGAATTTCTATAATATCAGAGTGAGGTTGAATTTCTATAATAGAAAAAAAAAAAATTCAGCTGCAGTAAATTTGTATATTAAAAAAACAAGCTCTATTGAATTTCTAAGGTAAAAAAAACAGCTACATTGAAAATCTATAGTAAGAAAAAAATAAACAGATTTTGATACATCCGAAGTGACTTCAGCGGACTGTGGAACCACACGGTGCGTCTTTAGCTGACAGCGAAATACACGGTGTGTCTTTAGCTGACAGCAAACCACACGGTGCGTCTTTAGGAAACCTTGAATCGCACATACTTTTTCAGCAGACCTTAAAGCAAGCAACGTCTTTAATAAAATTAAAATTACCAAATCTGTTCTAAAAGTTTGTTGTTCAGCTAAAAATGTGATCAGCTAGTTCACATTTTTTAAAATTTAAAAATCAAAGTAAATAGAATATTGAAATCTTGTAACTTATGAAAACCAGGATATGAACTCCAAAGAAACTAAGATAGAAGTACCTGCTGCTATGATTATGGCTGACAAAAATAAGTCTATTGAGAATTTGATTAAAAAAAAAAAAAAAAAAAAAAAAAATTAAAAGCAGCAATTTTTGTTTTATTTTTTTAATTATTTAATTAAAAGACAAACTTCACAAGAATGCAAGGAAACCACTCATCTGGAAGTATTTTTCATTATTTCCTTTCCACACGTCAATTCCAATCAGGAAAATTTCCAAAACAATTTATTATGGCAAAGGGGAAAAAAAAAGAAAAAAAATCTCCAGATTAAAAAGCTCGTTTGATTATTGGATAATGGTCATTATTTAACGCCATAGTTTTGTCGTAATTTATTCATTTGCTGTAGATAAGCCCAGGCAATACCAGCAGGTGGTAATGTTAATGGCCGAGAAGTGATCGTGATCAGTTCCCATCAAATAGGAATTATTCACGGATAAATCCTCTCATCTAATGCCATCAAGAATAAGTGTTTGTGCATCTGTCCTGTAAAAACATACTAGCTGAAGTACTTGTCTGCGTAGGGTAAAAAAAAAAGGAGAGAGAAAAAAGTCAAGTTAGTTACAATGACTGTAAAAGAATACCTTATTTCCAATGGGGGTAGGGTGTTGTTAGCGTCAGGGTCAAGTTATTTGAAACAAAAATAATTGGTACAAGTACAGCATTCTTAATCCACTAGACCCCCATGTATTATGAGAAACTGATTAAAGATGAGAACTGTCTATTTTACAATCTTTGTCATCAATTAAAAATTAGTTGGCTATTTACATAATAACATTTAGTTTCATCAACAGCGGTCATGTCTAGTAACTTTTTTTCTTGGTGTCAAATCCCATCAGAAGTTACGTCTAGTAAACTTCTTCTATGGATCAAATCCCTTCAAAAGTCACATCTAGTAATGTCTTTTTCTATGTGTCATGTGTCCCATCCGAAGTCATATCTAATAAGGTCTTTTTCTATGTGTTATGTGTCCCATATAAAGTCATGTCTAGTTATGTCTTTTTCTATGTCGTGTGTCCCATCCGAAGTCATGCCTAGTAATGTCTTTTTCTGTGTCGTGTGTCCCATCCGAAGTCACGTCTAGTAATGTCTTTTTCTGTGTTGTGTGTCCCATCCGAAGTCATGTCTTTTTTTGTGTTGCGTATTCCAACAGAAGTCACGTCTAGTAATGTCTTTTTCTGTGTCCTGTGTCCCATCCAAAGTTACGTCTAGTAATTTCTTTTTTATGCGTTGTGTTCCTTCAGTACGTGGCTCACCACAACTTCCTATCTCTCAACCTTTAGCAACATTTCTCCCTTTTCCAAACCTCCTGCCCCCCCCCCACTTCCACTCTCCATTTACACCATGTCAGGTTGGTGGTCAACTGCCTTCTTTTTTGTTGTTGTTGTTGTAGAAATAACAGTGTAGATTGGGGCTCTCTAGCCTTGGGTTGTAGCCAGTCTAGGAGAAGGACAACTCTGAATTCTAAACTGTGAAAAACCACTCCACAATCATTACCAAGGAGTTATGGCAATTTCACAGATATTAAGGGGAAAGGAAGCAAGAAAGAGTCATGACTGCCTACAAGATGAAGAGATATCGTACTTAAGAAGAAGAATGGGTAAAATAGCAGGGTAGACTGGGCTGTCCTCACTGGTTGGTCACCAGTCTAGGAGAAGGAATACCGTTGAATTTAAAATTGTCTATAAAAAAAATGGGAAATGATTACCTACATTATCTTTCCCAAGAAGTCATGGTGTTTCACAAATAATAAAGACGACACCAAGGAGAGCTGTAATTACCTACAACTTGAAAGGGTATGTCATTAAAAAAAAAATGGTAGGGCAATCAGTAAAAAATGAACTGAATTCAAACCCTTGTAAAATAATTGGGTAGACTTAGCTGTTTAGCCTTGATGAGGCAACCAGCCTAAGAGAAGGGAAACTGAATTCAAAACTAGCCTGAAGAGGGATGGGCTCTGTTAGGCTAATGTGGCTACTGTAAACATTTTATGTCTAACCAATGAAACCCCAGGCCTTACAGCCGTCATCCGTGTAGCTTAACTATTATCAGTCAGTTATGTGCCATGTGTGATACATGCTTAGGTGATCATCTATCTTTCGACACATGACTGACAAGGCAGATTTTTTTTCTCTCAGTAGTTTGCCATTTCTTTCTGCAGTAGACCAGTTGCCATCAAGGCTATAGAACCCAGTCTATCCTGCTATTTACCCATAGCTGGGGAGAGAAGAAGAGGATTCATACCTTTCCCAAGAGTATTAGCATATCAGTCAGTTATGTTCCATGCGTGGTACACGCTTAGGTGATCATGTATCTTTCGATACATGACTGACGAGGCAGATTTTTTCCCGCTCAGTAAGTTGTCATTTTTTTCTGGGGTAGACCAGTTGTCATCCAAGGTTATAGAACCCAGTCTCTCCTGCTATTTACCCATAGCTGGAGTGGGTGGGAAGAAGAGGATTCATGCCTTTTCCAAGGATATTAGCACATAAGTGAATGAAATGGATTCGACTGGAAATTGAACTCGGCTCTCCGATTCTTTAATCCAAGCCGCTATCCATTATTCCACCGTGCCTCCCAGTTTACCCTGCTATTAAAGCCATAGCTGGATGAAACAAAATTTGATTTATACATTTTCAAAGGCAGGAATTTGAACTCGATTTGCCAATTCCACTTTGTATTCTGCTAACTGAGCCTGAATTCATTAATTTTACTCATGTAAGAAAAAAGAAACAAACACATTTTCATATATATATATATATATATATATATGCACACACGATATTTCCCCAAATTAAACCTCTGCTGGTTTTGAATCCAGAGTTGCCCTTCACCTAGACCAGTTGCCATCCAAGGCTATAGAACCAGGTCTGTCCTGCTATTTACCCATAGCTGGGGAGAGAAGAAGAGGATTCATACCTTTAGCAAGGGTATTAGCACATAAGTGAATGTAATGGATTTGACTAGAATTTGAACTCGGCTCTCC